GTAAAAAAAAATGGCTTGGTAGGATGCAATTAATACAGTGCCACTGATCATGAAGTAAACCATTATAGAGCAACATAATTTTTAAACAAGTTTTTAATGGGAAACAGTTAAAATACATACTCATCAAGTTCAAATGTTGATTCAAGTTTCTCATCCCTGATTGGAATAGAAGTAGGTCAGAATATTACATTGAGAAGAAGGAGATCCATGCTCAAGTCTCCAATCAGCTACAGAATTCATTAGGTAATTTTGTAGTATCTCTCAACCTGATAAAATGAGGGATGACTTTATGCATGCCACTTTGGGTTTTCAGAAAAAAGGCAGCATGTAAACAATATGCATAGAGAGATACACACATGCACAAGTGCATGTGCGCACACACAAACACATAAAATGTAGAGATAGAACTAGTTAATTAATGAAAACAGCTGTAAGGAATGAAAAGTAAGGATAGTTTAACTTTAAAAAAAGCAGACTTGGATACAATCTTTAAATTAGAACAATCCATACATGGAAAAAAAATCTCTCTTGAACAACTATTGAATGAAGATCACAGATCTGCATGAATTACACATAATGTATGCCTTTACAAGATCTGAACTACACCTCACTAGGGTAAATTGTGCAACATATGTTTTCTATAAGTATTACTGTAAAAATGTCAGTACACATTTTCTGACATCTGTTTTTTTCCTAGCAGCAGTGCATGATGAATGGAGTTTGCAATTCCAATATATAAGAAGCCAAAGGCTACATCAAATTCAAATCCATCAGCATCTACTAGATTATATTGACATTTTACTGGAAATCGGAGACTCTACCAAATTCTTTTACCATATATCAAGAATCGCTAATAGCTTAGCTATTGTCTTCCTGCTGTTCTATGCCATTCAAGCAACAGTGCTCCCCTCCTCAAATAAGCTTAGCCAAAATGCCAAACACTTTGAAATCAGAATCCCAAAATATTTCTGTCAAGTTAACAACTATCTATCTTAGATCAGCAGAAGTTACATCTATTAATAAATGTGTGAGAAGAGTCTTATACATTAAACTATTTTTAAATGTGATGTGTTTTAAGTGATTTTATATAATTAAACTATAAATCTCTCCTTAGGTGATTTTGAGACAGTCACATTCTCTCATCCAACTCACCTCACAGGTTGTTGTTGTGAGGAAAATAGGGGGAGGAGGGGGTAATCAGGTATGTTTGCTGCCTTGAGTTATTTATAAAAATAATAAAGGCAGGAAATAATTTGGAGGTGAGTAGAGCAATGGTTGCCACAGTTGGTGGATATCTTTTTTTTTAAACAAAAGTTTCCTAAAAGTTAACTCTGAGAGATTGCTACCCCTAGTAAATTCATGCCCTTCTTCTTTAGCCTGTCCCATTTAGTGATCTGAATCTTTTATTACGAATCCTCCCTTAGTCCCAGCTCTTGAATAACTTAAAAACAAAAACCTAAAGCTTAGAAAAGCAGAAACAAAACATAAAGGACAACCTCAAATCTTTTCAGTTCTTAAGTGAACGAAATTTTAAATTTCTTACGTGGAAGAAATTTTTAATAAGAAAGTTAATTTCATAACCAAAAATGATATAAAAAATGTTCACTTGAAAAAGGGGAAAATTAGAAAAACAATGAAAGGCTGCAATCTTTATTTGCTTTTTATTCAAGCAAATAAAATCAGTTCAGTGACTTGTGTGTCACTTATCTGAATAAAATATAAGGTAAGTTGGAAACATATTGCAGAGAGAAAAATCTGAAAATTTATGCTGATCACTTTAATAAATGCTGCTAGGCAGACAGTAGTGCGACCAATATAACACTTTTATGGGAATAAGTTCAATAAAAGCCAGTCTCTTAGAGTCTGTAATAGCACAGTGTTCTCCATTATTGCAGATGGTCTAGCCAGAAAATTAATTTGTGGCTACACTTACCTTCTTAACAATACTAATCTTAACATTTCAAGAGAGTCAATACATTCCAACTTGGTGGGCTTGCATTAAAAATGCATCCAATAACAAAAGACTGTGAAATGATTTATTAAAAAAAAGACTGGAGGAATATTGAGATGTATGCAACCTGACCGGTTTCAGCATTTCACTCTATTCCAGGTTCACCCACAGAAGTGGTGAGATGCTTGACTAGAATCCTAGCCCTGAAATTACAGAGATTATTTGGCAATATGAGGCCTTCTTGTCCTTGAATTGTACTGACAGCAGAAAAGGGAATCTGGACAACTTCCAGCGTGTGCTTAGAGAAGCTTTTCCCAAAGGTCAAACTGTTTGAAAGATTGTAGGAGTCAAAGTCAACAAACCTGTAAAACAGCAGGTTAAATGTTGACATAACACAAAAAGGGGTTGATTACCACCAATAGTTTTCACAGTACAATTCCCAGAAGTGCTATCCAAAGCTATTGTATATTGCAGAACGCAATCTGAATGAACCAAAGATGTTGCTTTATTATAGATAGTTTAATCCATAGTGAAGGTGTCTGAATGATTGAATTCAAATGTAGACTTTTTCATCTTCAAACCATTAAGCCGGAAAAAAGATCCCATTAAGTTTTTTGATCTTTTACCATCTATAAAAATCATTCACTAAAATTTACCTCACTCACTAAAGATGGGGATAAAATAAATTAGGATGTATGACTTTGTTTAACAAAGCAGATCATGCAGAAACTGACTATAATAGTTGTTTCTTTCCCCCTCGTTCTTTGGTCAATTTTTTTAACATTTAGCTCCAGCTATGAAAACTCAAGTAAACAGGAGGAAATAGAAAGTTACTCTTTGGGAACATGTTTATACAACTGTTCTTTATCACATTTTAAACATTCAAAAATTGTGCACCCTTCCATGCTATTTTTATAATTAATAGATCTGACTTTCTTACCTTATCATTAATTTAGACAATTCTCTCTGTAATCACCACCTTTGAGAATGTAAATCAACTTGCTTTCCTTATTACTGATACTCACTTTCAATCAGTGTCAGACAAGAACACATCTAATCTGCAATATGATTATATCTGATTATGTCAAATGATGAAGAATATGAATGATAGATCGCTATCAGGGAGCTTCTGGACTCCAATTATACCTACCCACTAAATACGTTATATTTTCAGATTTGCTACTGATTTTTTTGGCAAATATAAAACAGTCCAAAACAGATGCACGGAATATTGAATAGCATTCAGTTGTTTAATATCATCACTAGCCAAAAACAAAGTAAAATTATTACATTTGCATTTAATTTCAGTTCTGATTCAACTGAAATAGAAATTGTTCCAGGTCAACAAAAGTTCAGCAAACACATACCAATTGCTTAAATTCGTGCTCCCATGAAAAAAATGGCAGATTATAATAATCACTTTGCATAATAAGGCTGCGCAAAGGCAGCTATTAGAGTTACAATCAAATGTGTGCAATACATGCCATGAAACTTTCCATTGACAAATTGGTTTCTCTGTTTCTGTGTATATGTGTGCATGCATACATATGTTTAAGTATGATTATGACCAAGTCTGAAATACACCCCTCCCCCAAGTGCTTGGCTTTTCCTATATTCTTGGAAAAATGGACTCTGATTTTGATGTACAATAAATAACAAAAGGTTCATTCATCAAACCCACTCCACCAATAACTTCATTCTCATTTTTCTATAAAAATCATTACTCTGCACAAATCATTATATAATAAAATTCTGTGTAGAGAAACTATAACAGATTTATACAAAGTTCTTCCTCTGGTGTTGCCTAATTTTCCACCTCTCCTCCAGCACTCATATATTAAATGGAAATATGTGTTTAGACTTCTATAAGAGTTGCACTCCATCACCCATAATAATCATCATGCGGTTAATACACAAAGAATGGGAGATTCTAGATATCATGTAGCATCTGTTTGGCTCCTTCCATTTTGTTCCTCAGTCAAACTGCCTAACCTACTGTTACTTTCTGTAATCTATTCCATGAAAAGATAAAAAGTGAAGGGACAGAATCAGAAGACATCTCACCATCTCTATAAATCACCAATTATGACCCCAACTGAAATTGACTGTTGATTATTATGTATATGTCAGGGATGAAGCTATTTTGCATGGGGCCAGGACTTTGATAATTGGAATATAGGCGGATAAGGTAACATTTTACAAGGAATTATGGATTAACTAATATAATTAGTTATATCAGTTCGTTAACCATATGGAAATTGGGGTTTAATGGAAGATTGGAATAGAATAATTTGTCCACACACAAAAAAAATTCTGATAAAGATATTAAAATGACTCAAGTTAAATTAGCAAAAAATATTTAATATGATGGAAAGTTATTTTTCTGAAAGCCATAGATATTTTTCAAAAATCTGTATGTTTTAGATAACTAAGAATTTGCTTACTAGTGTTTACAAAGTAGAGATATACTGCCAACAGTAAGAGAAATGGAAATAAAAATAAGTTATGCATAACAAAAGTGACTGGAAACTTCTAATGGTCTTTTTGCTGGAAAAAAAAAAAGAAAAATGAGTTTGCAATTTATAAGTTAGAAACAACAGCTAATGGAAGAAAGAAATTATGATGTAACTTTAGAAAAAGAAGGTAAAATTTAAATGCACTTAAATCCATTGTCAAAAAGATCAGAAGCTCCTTCTTTGTACTAGTCTTTTTTATTTCTTGTTATTTTTCTATTTTCTGAGGAAGAGACACTTGTCTCTTAATTAATTAATTAATGTTCCAGGAACACATGGCTTTTTGAGATGCTCCAAATCTTCTTCGAAAGAAGAAAGTGCTGGAGGCAGGGGAAGCATAGTATCCACTCCCAATGCTTACACAAAGTAATATGGTAACCCAGCATGGAACTTACAGAACTTACTATAATGAAGCTTCATTGTAAACTACTACAGACTTATTTTTAATCTTGTCTGTACTCATTTTATAGTTTATCATTGTTCTCATGTATTTTTTCCAGTACTGAATGAAGCACATGCTGTATTTTGAATCTTACCAGAGAAAACACTGGGAATCTTGGAGAGAAAGCTTTTGACTGTACGAATAGGAATCCCATTTTTCTCATCTTGCATACGAGCTATGACATCTTCCATCTGGACAAAAAAGGAACAAATAAACATATTATGTTCTTGAGTAGTAAACAGACTGGATGAGTCTTGAGTTGATCTAATTCAGTACAGTGTTGTCACAGTGACCAAACTAAATGCCTAAGTGAAGACAATAACCTCTGATATTGCAATTATATGTAGCTTTCATAAACAATAGCTAATAATAGCTAAATCAAGACCATCTAAGTTAGAGGCCATCATCACATCTTGTGGCATCAATTCTAAGATAACTATTTCCTGTATCAAGAAACACATTTTGACCTGAATTTTAATTATTCTGATAGATTGATTGACTGACAGTAACTATATTAATATCCTACATTTTCTCTTGAGAGCTTAAAACAACATACGCAAGAATCTCCACTAAAATTAATTCTCATGCTATTAAGAAAGCTGTGGAGAAAGCTCTTAAAAAAATCTAGATAGAAAGACGATAACGTGGCCAAAGCAACAAGTAACTTCCATGGTCAAGTGCTGACTTGAATCAGGATTTTCCCAATCCAAGATCTTAATGATTATATTTTATTTTATTTTATTTATTTATGTAATTTATATGCCGCCCTTCTCCGGAAGGACTCAGGGTGGCTTACAAGAACGAATAAAAAATTACATAAACATTAAAATCAATTTAAAATTAATTAAAATTATTTAAAATTATTTAAAATCACCCCTATGGATTCAGCCCATTTGGTGAAAAAGCCACGTCTTCAATTTGCGGCAGAAGGAGAGGAGGTCGGGGGCTGTTCTGAGGCTGGTGGGCAGCCCATTCCAGAGGGTCGGCGCTCCTACAGAGAATGCTCTCCCCCTGGGGGCCGCCAGTCGACATTGTCTGGCTGACGGCACCCTGAGGAGGCCCGCTCTGTGTGAGCGCACCGGACGATGGGAGGATGGCAGGAGATGATCCTGCAGGTACCCCGGGCCTAAGCCATGTAGTGCTTTATAGGTGAGCGCCAGCACCTTAAAACGAACCTAAAGGACCACCAGTAGCCAGTGCAGCTCGCGCAGGAGAGGTGTCACACGGGAGAACCGAGAAGCTCCCATAACAACCTGCGCGGCCGCATTCTGGAGTAACTGTAGTCTCCGGGTGCATCCCAAGGGCAGCCCCATGTAGAGGGCATTACAGTAGTCCAATCGAGATGTAACAAGGGCATTGTAATGCTCTCTACATGGGGCTCCCCTTGAAGAGCACTCGGAGGCTCCAACTGGTCCAGAATGCGGCCGCGCGGGTGGTTATGGGCGCAACTCGTTGTGCCCATGTGACACCCCTCCTGCGTGAGCTGCACTGGCTACCAGTGGTCTTCCGGGTGCGATTCAAGGTGCTGGTTACCACCTTTAAAGCACTCCATGGCATAGGATCCGGGTACCTTCGAGACCGACTCCTGCCACCAATAGCCTCCCACCGGCCAGTTCGCTCCCCCAGAGAGGGTCTCCTCAGGGTGCCATCGGCCAAGTTATGTCGGCTGGCGACACCCAGGGGGAGGGCCTTCTCTGTGGGAGCCCCAGCTCTGTGGAATGAATTGCCCCCGGAAATACGTAAGATCTCCGACCTCCGGGTATTTCGCTGTGCACTGAAGACCCTGTTGTTCCGCCAGGCCAGGCTATCGACATGATAATTTTAAATTGGGGTATTTTAAATTTCTGGGGTTTTAAATGGAGCCAAATTTATTTAATAATTTTAAATTTTAAATTGATGTTTGTCTTGTGTTTTTAAATAGGCTGTACACTGCCCTGAGTCCTAAATAAAATTATTATTATTATTATTATTATTATTATTATTATTATTATTATTATCCATCCCTGGCCCGCCAGAGATCATTCACAAGGGTGACCAATGCTGTTTCCGTGCTGTAACCATATCTGAAACCCGATTGGTACAGGTCTAGGAAGTCAGTTTCCTCCAGGAATTGGGGGAGCTGCTGTGCCACCACGGACTCAACAACCTTCTCTATAAAGCGAAGGTTGGAGACTGGACAATAGTTGTTAAGGGATTATTATTATTATTATTATTATTATTATTATTATTATTATTATTATTATTATTATTATTATTATTATGAGTGACCATGGCAAGGGCGTCCCGATCTAGGAAAGGGAGAAACTGGCATACCAGGCATACCTGAGTGAAGGCCCCCCTGGTCACGGCCATCAAATGATCTTCTAAAGATAGCCGTGAGTCCAGGAGGACACCCAGATTGCAAACCCTTTCTGAGGGAGTAAGGACCTCCCCTCCCATCACAAGTGACAGGGCCACTAGATCACGAGATGCCGGTATCCACAGCCACTCAGTCTTGGATGGGTTGAGTCTGAGTCTGTTTCTTCCCATCCAGGCCCGTACCGCTTCCAGGCAGTGGGACATCACAGAAAGAGCATTCCTAGGGTGATCTGGGGTGGAGATGTAGAGCTGAGTATCATCAGCATATTGATGGTACCTCACCCCAAAACCACGAATGATCTCACCCAGTGGCTTCATATAGATGTTAAAGAGCAAGGGGGAGAGAACCGACCCCTGAGGCACCCCACATGTGAGGGGCCTTGGGGTGGATCTCTCTCCCCCCATCCATACAAACTGCGGGCAGTTCGAGAGGTAGGAGGAGAACCACCATAAAACGGTGCCTCCTACCCCCAACCCCCCGAGTCGCTGCAGTAGGATACCATGGTCGATGGTATCGAAAGCCGCTGAGGGCCTAGGACGAATCATGGGTTAAGGAGGCGGGAAATGGCCCAAGCTCCGTCAGGAAACTTGCCGGGTCCATCAGGCGCCTGGGGCAGAACAATCTCACTGGTTCCGCCTCCCAGCGGTGGAGGATGACGGAGAGAAAGTCCAGCCTGAGGAGGGAATGATCGGTCCATGACAGGGGGTAGATTGACAAGTCCCCCCTACCATTATCATTTATCCACTGTCCAGAGTGAAAAATCAGGTCGAGTGTGTGTCCTTCCTTATGAGTTGGGCCCTGTACAATCTGAGTTAGGTCCATGGCCATCATGGATGCCATGAACTCCCAGACTGACTCAGATGTCTCCCTGGCCGATGGTAAATTGAAGTCTCCCACAACCAAAAGTTTGGGGAGTTCAACCACCAACTCGGCCAGGACATCTAGCAGTGCGGGAAGGGCTGAGGCTACGCAGCTGGGAGATAGGTACATAACCAACAGACCCGACTGAACTCCAGGGTCCCACTTCAAAAGGAGGGATTCACACCCGCCAATCTGAGGAACAGTGACCTCCCTGGGACTGAGGCTTTCTCTAATAACAACCGCCCCCCCCCCCCACCCCTACCCTGGAGTTGCGGCTGGTGAAGCACACGGAAGCCTGGGGGACATAAATTGGTGAGAGGGACACCTCCCTCCGGCCCTAACCAGGTCTCTGTAATGCAAGTCAGGTCCGCATCCTCCTTGTCAATTAAATCTCGGACAAGGAGGGCCTTGTTCATCACGGACCTGGCATTCAGATACACCAGCCGGAGCCCAGGGCTCCACTCTCCTACACCCCCGGGGAAGCAGGATGAGGCCAGGGGGCCGGAGGGCGTCACCAGCTGGATACAGTGGGGGCACTCCCCAGATCCCCTTTTCTTAATTGAACCAGATCCAAGACTTTAAACACTATACTGGCAATTAACGCTCAAGGTCAAAGCTATCATGACAACTGTCCATAAATACAGCTTTGATGATACTGTAAACTGAAGGAAGAGACAGGAATGAGGCTAAGAACAAAGTTTATTTACCAAGCTAATCATTTCATCTAATGTTATTAAAAACTACTCAACATTGTTTTCAGCTTCTCCACAACGAATAAGTTTCAAATAATAGCCCTTAAACATACATACATCCTTCTTCAAAGATCAATGTATTGAATATAGTAGTAAGCATTTGTTTGATTAGTTAGTAAAACAATTCTCAGTTAATAATTTTGAGTACATCTTTGTTGAATTCTTAAATGACTTGCTCATTCGTACGTAACTATGGCACTGGATGTCATATATACGGCTCTATTTCTATGATATCACAGACTGGGAGAGTTGATTATTTAATGCTACATTTTTTTTTCTATTAAACATAGCATCTTTGATACTTGAAACCTGGAAAATTAAAATTTCTTATTAAAGGCCTGTGTTGGCTTGCAGAGTTTGTTGGGGGGAAATTCTCAGATAAGCCCTTTGACACTGAAAATGTAGATGTTATATCAAAAACAGTCCACTTTCAATGTACATTTAAAAAATGGAAAGCCTGAAAAGAAGAAACATGACTCATCTTTGAAGAGATTTTAATTTGAATGATAGCTTTCCAGAAAGTATTCCAAACTCTATAGCATGTTGTTTGTATGTGTATTTTTGCAGAAATGTCATTGTGATATGGTTCAGTCTTCCTTTCTGATCAAGGCAAAGCAGCCTTCTTTTAAATATAAGAGAACGAAGAATATTCCCTTTTCACTCACACACTCACATATCCATAATGACTGATAATAACACATTGAAATATGTGTTTTTGATATCAATATACGTGGGAGTCAAATGCCAACTGAAACTACGGTTGCACACTTTGCAAATAATTTTCAATCAAGTTGTAAAACCCTGCCCTTCCCCTTTCCAAAGGAAAGATTGCATCTTTGAGCAATACAACTTTCTTTTCTCATGTTCTCTGGTCTCTAGTTGCCATTTTTCACACTTGCATTCACTTATTTATAGTTTCCTGTAACAAATTGTTCTCCAAGTGAGGAATACAAGGGAACAAACAAAGATAAAACAAACTTAACCCATTAATACAACAGCTAATTTAAAAGAAAAAAAACCATGCAGAGCTAAGACCATTAGAAGCATCAATATTATGTATTCATTCAGCTTAAGAATAATTCTATAAACCTGAGGATAATGCAGATAAAAGATACAACTATACTATCACAATATCAATTAAACACAGAATGCTGCATGAATTGCAATTTACAAAGCAGAGACTAAGGGTAACAAACATCTAAAATATCCAGGCAGGCTA